ACTTGGGGGACTATTGTGATACTGGTATCTTAATATCATTACATTATTATTGTTAGCATATGCATTATATTATTACTGCCGAGTATTTACTTCACATCACTGCTAACAGGTTATGACACATATTATATCTCGGAGAAATTTGATATGTCATTATTCACTTTATCGTCATGAGTAATTTGAGAGGCAAATGGACCTCAAATTTATTTGGTATACGTGCAATTGATATATTGTATTATATTACAGGATTGGTTTAGTCCATAATATAGAGGAGATGCTGCCAAAATTTCGACAAATTATATGTAGCATCTATCTTTCGAGGCAATTCGTAAGCCCTTACTTATTCAGGTTGTCACGCATATTTTCTAAGCCAATTCGTAAGTCATCACTTATTCAACCTCCTTATACATCAGAGGCCATCTGTAAGCTCTCATATTTTGAAGACTATTTATGGGTATTCATCTGCTCACAACAGCTTATATTTTCGAGGCAATTCGTAAGTCCTCGCTTATTCAGGTTGGCACGCATATTTTCTGAGACAGTTCGTAAGTCCTCACTTATTGGAGTTGCTCGCCTATTTGAGACTGAAGCATATTTTTTGAGGCAATTCGTAAGTTCTCGCTTATCGGAGTTACTTACATTTTTTTAGACAATCTGTAAAACCTCACCTACTGACAGCTTATATTTCAAAATCCGACCCGCACATGGATGTACGATTCAGACTTGGAGGAATTGACTTGACCGTCGGAGTGCAAACGGTCGCCAAATATTTTTGTCGACCGGAGGTCTTTGCCTCCAAACGGGGTGTTCAGTGTGCAGGTGATGTTAGAGGTGTCGATCCGGGTGATCCGGGCCGGCCAACATATGAGCCTGGTAACGGCCCGCATGAAAAAAAGCCTGCCCGCTACGGGTTCCCAGTCGGCCACAAATTTTGGACTAAAACCCGGGCTCGCCCGCTAGCCCGCTGACCCATCCGGGTCGAGCCCATGAGGGTTACAGGTCGCTGTTCGTTCCGGTTTGGCCCTGATAAGTACGTTTTTACATACTTATTTTACTGTCAAAATATGAGCAATTATTAATTAATATGTTGGAATATAGTTTAATTCTATACAATTCATGTTTTGCAGGACAAGTGATGAATGTAGCGGAAATAAGGAGAAACAAGTGAAAAATGATCGGAATGGAAGAAAGTGAAAGTTCAGGGACTAAAGTGCAAATACTCAAAAATTATG